AGAAGTCTTCGACATCACACAATGCAGTCACAACTGAAAACCGAGTAGATGGTTACTGTGAGTGCTGTCGCTAATGTGCGTTTATTGCAGTGTAGATGTGCATCATACAAGGGAGCACACTCGTACTTCGCGACAATATAGGGCTTGTGTGGATGAAATTTTACACGAGTGGGTGGGTTCGAATCCCACAGGTAGAGCTGAATTTTCTTTCTTTCTTTCTTTCTTTCCTTCTGACTTATGCACTCTTCACACATTTCTTTCAGCCTGCCTGGCCTGATATTGGGAGCGAGACGTGCAGATAATTAATCTGAGGTAATCCTGTGAAGAAAACCATTCGTGCCAGCGCTTATGAGCTCATAAACCCATTGTACTACTGCATCATGTTAACTAGGTCATCCCTGTCTTGTCTCCTTACATTTTATGGCATCCCTATATTCCACACTTTTTAAGTCAAAGAATTGTTTGTCTACTTTTCTTTTTTTACTGCATTCACATGCATGGTGTGCAATAAAAGGGGGATATTTTTGGGCATAAGCCCATAAAAATGTAATATTAGTGGCCTTAAGCTATCGCCTCAGACGTTTTGCTTCATTCACATTACATCAGTGCACCAAGTTTCATTGTGAGAGAACCCATCATATAGGCAGTGACACCATATAAATGTCTTTTTTGCCTGAGGCTGTTTGTTGTTGTTTACCGCAAAATACGTTTGTGTGCTAGACCGAAAGTCCAATAAATGCTCTATAGTTTGCCGTTTGTTTCAGGGGCGTAACCCGTTCCGTTGCGAAGTTATGAGCAAAAGCCATTCCGCTGCATCTAACGTGAAAAATCGCGTCTGAAGGTGAACTTCCGGTGTCAAATTTCAACCTCCGTATTCTCGTAACAAGTCCGTGTTACAACATTATGCACGCGTGTGCATCCGGCCGCATTCATTGTACGCCGCTAGGTAAACTTAGTAAAGGGGAATTCCCGTTTACGTGACCCCGTAAAAGGTTTGATTATTCCCAGAAACTACTTCCCACCGTAACAGGGCAAAATGTTTTCAATGACCTGGAAAGACAACTGTTAGCCCTACTAGTACGACATGGAGGACTTGGAATCATCGTTCCCACCAAACGAACAGAGCTTCATCACTCAGCATACGATAAGATCACAGCCCCACTCGCGGAACTCATTCTGAGCCAGTCAAAATCATATCCACCCCAGGCAAGAGCAGCACAACAACAAGCAAAGAACAGAACTCGAAAAAGTTCGTAAACAGCAAGAAGCCAGAGAAGCAAATGAAATCAAAGAAAAACTCCCACCAACTCTGAAAAGAGCTATAGACGCAGCAACAGAGAAAGGGGCATCAAGCTGGCGCACCACCCTACCGATAGCCGAACACGGGTTTGCTCTCCATAAAGGAGCATTCAGAGACGCGCTCTGTCTCAGGTGCGGTTGGCACCCACCAAACCTCCCATCTCACTGCATCTGCAACCAGAAGTTTACAGTCGAACGCGCACTTAGCTGCTCTCGTGGAGGATTCCCGCAAATCTGACACAACCAACTCCGAGACATTACAGCAGAAATCATGATGGAAGTATGCCACAATGTCAGCACTGAACCTCACCTTCAACCAGTCACCGGAGAGCAACTGCGCCACAGAACAGCCAACCGAGAAGAAGGCGCCCGCCTCGATGTTGTTGCAACAAACTTCTGGGGAAGAGATCGCCAACAAGCCTACTTCGACATCAGAGTTTTCAACCCTTTTGCACAAACGCACAGAACATCTACACTCAGCCAATGCCACAAACGGCAAGAACGAGAAAAGAGAAGGACCTACGAAGAGCGCGTTCGAGAAATTGAACACGGATCCTTCACTCCTCTTGTATTCAGCACCTCTGGTGGCATGGGGCCAACAACAACAACAGCCTACAAGAGACTAGCAGCACTCATCTCAGAGAAACACAACCAGCAGTACAGCACAACACTTCACTGGATGAGATGCCGCCTGAGCCTGTCACTCATCAGATCTGCCATCATGTGCCTCCGTGGAGCAAGGTCCACCTACCACCACCCAACCTTCTCAGGGGACTCAATGGATGTGGCTTGCTCAGAAGGCCACATCTCTACCCAGGACTGAACAACTCTAACCCTTACAATATCTTGTTTTGTTTTGCCTTTTTTCTGGTTTGTATTATTACGTTCCTTATACAAATTATTCCCGTGTTACGTTTACTTGTAATTCCGCGTTACGACGGCACGAGTAACGGTACTTGCCTGGTACCCTGGGCCATAACTACGGAACGGAACGGAGTTAGTGCGTCAAACTTGCGCAGGTTATGGACGATAGACAGAGGTACTAGAATACGGGGAGAAGCGGGAATCGGTGAATTACATAGTTCGCCGTAAAACCTCCGCTACTACAATAATACTACGTGCGTGATAAGGGTCGTTTTCTCAGAGCCTATCACATATGTGTACAAAGTTTTATCACTCTGGGTATTAGCTTTACCTAGTTAGCACAGTTTATTTGTCTCTATCGTAATGTATTGCCTGGGGCTATTTTTTTTCTGTTGTTTACATGTAAACAAAATTGAAATTAAAATGCTCTTGCACGGCCTGTCATAGATTCCAATCTTTGTGCAAAGTTTCATCTCCATATCTTGAATGGTTTTTGAGATACGCGTGACAACATGTCATATTAAACATTGTTGTTTACATGTAAACAACAACAATAGCCCAAGGCCATACATTACTGTATGGACCAATCAAGTGAGCTATATTGTTTATATGCCAATGCCATGACCGATAGATCTTCAAACACATATACAACCCTCATTAGTACAACCTTAATGAAAAGCACTAAAGTGCAAACCCTTGGAGAACTGTACATGTGCGGTACCGCTAATTGATGGGCTGGGCTATTAGTGTGCGTTTACTCGCGGTCTCCCGCTAGTAGCACACAGAGAGTCTGACACGGGCTAGCTACAGTAATAGATAGCATGCGAGACTCAATACACGCTATTCGTTGTGACTTCTTGTGCCTTCAAGATACACAGAGCAAGCGGACCCGTCGAGGTAAGCCTGTGCTAAATATAAGCGCATGCGCATTTTCCGGAGCGATAAAGTGGCGTCTACCGGCATTATCCGTACAATGCTGGATGCGCCCTAGCTTTGCAACGGAGCAATTTCAGAGAAAACCGTTCGAAGTTTCTGACCTTCATTGCCCGTTAAGTAGATCGTGTCCTTTCTGAGACGAACAAACACCCGAGAAGTGAGATTGAGAGTAACAGACAGACAGACAGACACACACACACACAGACCCAATGAAAAGCACTAAAGTGCAAACCCTCGGCGAAGTAGCTCGCAGAGAGTCTGACACGGGCTAGCTACAGTAGTAGATAGCACGCGAGAGTCGATACACGCCATTCGTTGTGACTTCTTGTATCTTCAAGATACAGAGCAAGCGGACCCGGTCGAGGTAAGCCTGTGCTAAATATAAGCGCATGCGCATTACCGCCAGCGATAAAATGGCAGCCATACAATGCTGGAAGCGCTCTATGCTCTAGCTTTGCAACGGAGCAGTTTCAGAGAAAGGCGTTCGAAATTTCTGACCTTCATTGCCCATTAAGTAGATCGTGTCCTTTCTGAGACGAACAAACACCCGAGAAGTGAGATTGAGAGTAACAGACAGACACACAGACAAACCCAACTACAGTAACCCTCGCTGCGCATGCGCGCCGAGGGTTAACAACAACTAATGCATGGTGAAAATGAGATGGTATAAAATCAAGGAGACAAGACAGGGATGACTTGATGCCAGATTACATACTTCGATATCGCATTGTGTGCTCGTGTAGATTTTTCACACAAGCCTTCTATTGTCACCTCTTCTCACAACATAAGTTCCCTTATGGAAAAAAACATAAGAATCTTATAAGACCAACAGCAATCTTATAGGAAATGATAGCATATACTCTTATCATAAGAGAATTCGAGCAATAATTTTGTTCAAGGAAATATTTCTTATATACAATTTCTTTTTAGTAAAATGTTCAGTTATTTTGTTTAGCAAGTAATGTGAAGTGTGAGGAAAAGGTGAAGGATTCTGTAGGGGGCAAGAACTCATGATTGTAAAAGAGCGAACATGGAATGCACACAATCCACAACACCTGTGCATTGCCCGTCGTGTAGTATGTGAAAAGTGAGTCATAGCTGCACATTATGCGTGGGAGCACAACAGTATATAGCTTGTGCAGAGGACAAGTGAGCAATGCCAGTTTGTGGGGTATGTAGCAATTATCCATATTAATACGGCATCACGTTCACTGTCTTGTCTCTTTCCTTTTTATACCGTCCTCCCTTTATTCACTGTCTTGTAATTCGAATAATCTTGTATGATGCTCCATACCATGCCCATCCCTATATACAAAGTACTACAGTACTTAGTGATTTTGTATGATGCTGGGTACCATGCCCATTGTCGCAACGCATTTTTGGCGAGTGAAGCCCAGTTAAATGTTTTCCTGTTTTCACGCTTATTTAGAATTACGTAAACATTGCGGAATGTGTCAGTTAGCAGATGGAAAAATTGCGCATTCAGACGACTAGGCAGGCTTGCTTCGCCTGCCAACTAAATATACTACCGTTTTATGCTCTAGGCGCCGCACTATTCGGTCTGTATACCTTAATCTACTAGCCCGTGCCAGACTCTCTGCAAGCTACTAGCATGGAGACCACGAGTAAACGCATATTAATAGCCCAGTGCATCAATTAGCGGTATCGCACATGCGCAGTTCGCCAAGGGTTTGCACTTCCGTGCTTTTCATTTTCACTTCGGTTCACTTCTACTCTTGTCTTTGTTGTTCTGTTTACTATGCACATGCCCATGTCTGATGTCATCTTGCCACTAGTTGGTGAAATGTCAGAGGTTTGAGAGGAATATGCCTAACTTTTGTCATTTTTGTGTCATTCAGAGGAGTTTGACATTTGAACTTGTGTTCTTTGATCATTTTCAGCTTTTAAAAGTGAAATAGCAGTTCTCTCTGCAGTCAGCAAACATCATGAAGTTCTTATTGAGGAGTTGAAATCAAACATTGCAAGGTCTGTCACCTGTATTAATGTCCATTTTCTGTTTCTTTGCCATACCCTGCCCTCAAGGATATTCTTTGCATATTGGGAGGGGCATTTCTTATTCATGTTTTAGCAACTTCAAAAACAGTCGAACGAGAGAATGCACGATGCAATTTTCTGCACTATGTTTGTGACACATAATTTATACAAATGTAACAAGTAAATCCTGTGAATTTAAAAAAGAGGCATATAGGGATGGTAAAAGAAAGGGAGACGGGAAGGATGGGATACATGAAGCATGGTTAATGAACAGATTTGAGCACGCTGACACCCCGACCCCATCACACAATTCCTATTATTGTTGCCTGGTGTGGCACTCGTAAGCTCCATTTCTACTCTTGGTTACATAGCATGCCTTTTTTCTATTTTCTAGCTGTAAGTCCTGACTATTTTGTAATGTTGAATGTTTAATACTTCACCTATGTAACAATATAGGGATTGTGTGATGGGGTCAGGGTGTCAGGATGCTTCATTGCTTCATGTATACCTTCTCTATGTTGTCTACCTTTCTTTTTATACCATCCCTATATGCCTCTTTTTTAAATCCGCAGGTTTTTTATTTACTTGTCTCCACTAATTTTTATATACTACTACGTATATCACTGTGAAAGGGGGCGAGCCCCCTATAAAATTAATAGGAAAAGATGGCTATTGTTGTAATGGAAAAGATTTTATGCATACCTGAAACCATTTGTAGTCATCATGGAAACGATGTCATATGTATGTCTCAACAACTTGGTAACGAGGTAAAAAGGCAAGGCAAGGCAAACAAGTCAACTACACCCAGGACAGCTCTTTCTTTTCAAAGAAAAGAAGAAGAGCTGCCCTGAGTGGGATTCGAACCCACGGCACTCTGCAGTCTAGGCGAGCGCTCTACCAACTGAGCTACCAGGGAAACTCAGCTGGGGGGTTCGAATCTACAACACAACAAAACACCTGGAAAACCTCAAACCACTGTGCTATGGCACAGTAAACTCTCATACATACCAAGTTTCATCTCCATGAGTGCTACCGTTAGCGAGTGAAGAAGTAAATGCCTGAGGCTATATTCATTGTTCAAATAATGTGGAAATGAAATAATACGCATGCGTACCAAGTTTCATCTCCATGCATGCTACCGTTAACAAGTTTGAGGAGTGAATAAGTAATTTTAAAGAAAATGATGCTAGGTACCATGCCGGTCCCTATATACTAAGTACTACTGTACTTAGTGATCATACCAGAACTCATGGCTCTTGCAAGTATGGTAGTGTACTACTTAGTATATAGGAATGACACGGCTTATCGTCCGTACATTTGAGGGTTTCATGTTTCACAGTTTCAATCAAATCTATCCAACTTCTGACATATCAGTCTGATGCACATGGTCATAAAAAACATGGTCATAATGAGCGAATACCTAATAAATGGCAAATAATACACTCTATATAATATAATATATATGGGCCCGTAGACTACTGCTAGTGTGTTTTTGTACGTACGTATATAAAGCGTCTTCCGATGCTCTAATTCCCAAAGACTTCATACGTGCCCTCGGTTTTCCATGGAAGAATTCGCTCATATGCGATTCCACGATTTTTCCTGTCATCATAATTCTTCCTCTTCAGTAAACCTTTACCGGAACCATTTGCAGTGCCGAACATTTCACTAAACGTCTCCATATTCGATGGAGGTGTGGACGGCAACCAAGCGATCTTTTCTTTCGTGTCTCAAGTCACTAGGTACACCGAGGAGCTCTTTCACAGGAGACACTGAGCAACGCCATTTCCTGCTAACTCAGCAGTGAGCATGCGCTGAGCAGGGGGCGTAGTCCTGACGCCGCATGCACACTGTCGCCCGTCCCTTCCCAGTAGTAAGTTCGGGAAACGTGTTAGCTAACCTGCTGTTGGTTTGCACAGGCAGTACGTTTGCGAGGTTGTGTGTATGGTGTGTGACTAACTGCAGCTGCGTACACAGGCATCGCGTGCGTATATTTTACGCCTCCATTTTTTTTGCCCACTAGCACGTTACTTACCTAATATTGTAGTCTGATTACTAAAGCCTGCCAATGAAACCACAACTGTGTATATGCCAAAACCTAATTGTACAACACAGACACACAGAGTGGATGTCATCAGTGTATTACGTCTGTACTGCCCCCTGCTTCAGGCATCAGCAGCCATTACCTGCTTCAGGCGTAAGCAGCCATTAGCTTACAGTTACCGAACATAAGACACTATGCTCAAATTCAACAACTATCCAAACAGTTTCGTGCATAGGGTGAGAAACAGGATGCCTGACATACCAGATAAAATGTTGTTAGGTTATCTATTGCAATTCCTTACGTTAGGGGTCTGTCGGAGGCAATACAACGTCTTCTGTATCCTCTCGGAATTTGGGTTGTATACAGGCCAGCTTCTACCCTTCTAAAACAACTGGTCAGAGTCAAGCACCCTGGTCCTCCTCTCAAACAAGCCAACGTAGTCTACTGCATTCCTTCCGTTGGCCTGACAAGCCGCCTGTTGGAAACGCGTCTAAGCTAGCACAAGGCAGCAGTGAAACATGCGAAGAGTGATGTGTCTGCTGTGGCTGAGCATGTTTGGAAATTGGGCCATCAAGTAGACTTCAAATCTACCCCAATCCTTCATGAGAACAACCAGTTCCGAAGGTGTGCCCTGGAGTCGTGGCACATACGGAGACATCCTTCCACCTGTATATCGCTGTTTGCACTGAACTGTTTCTTTCTTCTTCTATCCTTCATCTTTTCATAACCCCCCTTTTTTATTATCTCTATTTTTTTAAATTAATATTTTGACCTTTGTAAACCTACGTACGTAGCTACCTTGCTAATTTTGCCTCTTGCTTTTCTCTCTTAGTTACATTTGATTTTTTGTTTTCATTCCTCTGTCTCTCATGCCAGCCATTGCCTACTTTTTGTACTTTTGCCACTGATGAGGACTGCAGAGCAGTCGAAATGTTTTGCCCAAAAAAGTTTTCTGACTAGTGTTAGTAGATATAATTCATAGAGTATGCAGCCCTATTGTCCTCATAGTATGACTCGTTTCCTGAGCATATAATGCACAGGTGTTGTCCTCTCTGGCAGCTCCTCAGTTTTTTTTGTAGTGACTGCATTGTGTGCAGTCTTATACTTCCATGTTGGCTTCTACACTGTTGCGTTCTTGGCCCTCCAGTGAATCCCTTCACCATTGTCCTCACACTTTATACCATAAAGTTGTGAGTAAAAGTGGTGATAATGTGGCTTATGTGGAGGAAATGTACATGAACAAGCAATGCCAGTTTGAAATATGTAACCATCATTCACTGTACTACTGCTTGTCATGTCTCTTTGCTTTTTATGGCATCCCTATATTCCTCACTTTGAATCTTTCTGTTAAACTTGCACACCATGCATGTGAATGAGGTAAAAAGAAGACAAGTAAGTTCAAATTAAAATGGTGAGTGTAGGGATGGTATTAAAGTTAAGAGACAAGACTGTGTGTATGTGATGGGTGTAGTTGACTTGTTTGAGTTGCCTTGCCTTTCTACCTCGTTACCAAGTTTGCGTATACTCGGTTTGGAGTTGGGCGTCATTGGTGGTTTAATTACCCCGGTCTGCTCCTACATACTGAGTGAGAGTTTACTGTGCTGTAGCACAGTGGTTTGAGGTTTGCCTTGTGTTGTGTCGTGTTGTAGATTCGAACCCCTACCAGCTGAGTTCTCGTGGTAGGTCAGTTGGTAGAGCGATCGCCTAGACTGCAAAGTGTCGTGGGTTCGAATCCCACCCAAGGCAGCTCTTCTTCTTTTCTTTGAAAAGAAAGAGCTGTCCTGGGTGTAGTCGACTTGTTTGACTTGCCTTGCCTTGCCTTTCTACCTCGTTACCAAGTTGTTGAGACATGCAGTAGTGCAATAGATATATATGACGACATGCTTCAAACGGACATTGCTTGCTTATGTACATTTTGTCAGATTTGGAGGGTTATGTTCCTAACCTTTGTTCGAATGTGTGGGTATCATACTCTCTTCTCTAGGATGAAAAAGACCATGGCTTCAGCTAGAGTAAAACTGCAGAAACAAGCATATTTTCAAAGAAGAATCAAGCTGGAACTGGACAGGTACCTATTCTGAAGTAACTAAGTACTGTGGCACAGCTTTTTGGGCTGTAAATGTCGACTGTGTTCGCTAAGCAGCATTTAAGTTTACTGTAAAATTGGAGAGCAATGAGCATAACCCTCCAAATCTGATTGAGAGTAATTGTGTTGTAATGGTTGCATTTTTATATTGAGGCGGTAGAAATCCGACATTTTACTGTACAATTGGTGGGTTTAGCAAAGGTACTGCCTGTAGGGGTTTAATCCAAAGGGGTGGGGGAATAATCATTGTGAATGACCGTGCTGTATGTGTGACCATGTGCGTATTTGATTCAACATTAGTAGATCTACCCATCCTCGATTTAAAATCACCAAGAGGAACTGCCTTTCCCTTCTGCATGAATCCAAGTGTGTCCTCAACTATCGTCAATATCTGTATTATATGTGGGCATGTAAATTCAATACATGCTACCCTCCCATCCCATCCTCCCCCCCTACGACTACTCTTATTCTCACTAGGCTTTTCAAACCGTCCCTTCACAGCAACTGTCTTTCCCTCTCTCTCCCAATATTGCTTTGCATCAATTTTGAGTCTTCTCAAAAGCTCCCCTACCTCTGTCTGTTGACGCAAACTACAAAGGCCTGAAAAATTACATGTTCCAACCCTTAGCCTTCTGTTCTGGCTGGCCCCTAATCTTCTGACTAACAACTGAAAGATTTACTTCACTGACTTCAGGCACACCAGCTGCACACTCATCCTCACTATCAGCTAGCTGAGAAAACCAATTAACACATGAATGCCAATATGTGCAGCCTCTTTAGCGTGGCTGGTTTCATCTAACACACATCTACAGCCAATCTTCCAAAGACAGTCTTAAATTTGCGACACAACTGCCTTACTAAGGCTCTTAGGCAGTAACGTACTAAACCTGACATGATCACCCTCCCAAGCAACACTTCCCGATAGAACCGATAATCCTATATCCGCGAGCTTCACCCGTAATTTTTAGTGTTCACAAGCTTTTAGGCATTCCTCACAAAATTACATTCACCTTAGCCTGTTTATTGTAACACAACCCAGTCTTTAGCAGAGGGAAGCTGCATTCACTGAAGCGTCATTAATTGTAAATCACGCTGTAGTTTGAAATAGGCTACCAAAGTCCTCCAAGAGTACATAGTAGACAATGGTAGCTGATAGATTCCTCTCCCTCCAGACACCAACAGTAGTAGCAGAAGACAACAACTAGAAGCAAAAATAGGTTTCGAAAGCAGAGCTAAAATTCCAAGTAAACCCCCAGCTCCATAAAAAAAAAATGCCACTCATTCTCTCACCCGTTGTGCTAGCTGTGCTGGGAGACTGATGCTTTTTTTTCAAGCGAAACACATGTCTGACTCAGGAGCCCAGGGACTGTCGAGAGATTTCTTGCTACGCCTTCTACAAGCGCTCTACCAGGCAAGCCCTCTACTCTTACTGTACATGGAAGCTGTCGCTTTGTGCAGAAACAACATATGACAATCACTGTTTTGTATGGAAGATTTGCTGTAGACCACCTGGGAACGCCAATAGACTCCTGTAAAGAGGTGTCTATAAGACATCAGCCACTCACATTTCTGCAATGTTACTGATCATTTGAATGTGACTGCGGTCTAAAACCTTTTATTCCCATGTTCTCTACCTGCTTTGTGGGATGTGCTTACTCTTTTATGTAGTGGCTTACTGCATAATTATTTATTTTTATTTGCAGAAATGACATATCTCTACCATTTGATATTCCAGTGTCAGGTATGTTCTGTTTACTTGGTTTGTTAACCCTAAGCACACATGTGCAGCGAGGGTTAGAGGACTTGGTTCGTAAACTTGTGTGTATGTCTGTCTGTTAACCCCACAACGCGCAACAATCCAGCCAAAAAGTGATACTAACGGATTCTGTGCAACACTGGTTTGATTTTAAATTATGGCGATTATGAACAAAAGTTGGTGGCGTGAAAACAGAGTCAAAGAAAAGGGCTAAAGTGCAATCCGTCGGTGAACTGCACATGCATACCGCTAAATGATGGGCTGGGCCATTAGTACAGGTTTACTCGTGGTCTCCATGCTAGTAGCTCGCGGAGAGTCTGACCTTTTTTGTTCGTGTTTCATCCCGTAACTCCCGAACACAGCAGTGTTAGAGAAAACCCCACATATATTTTTTCGACCTTTATCCGATGCTGAATACATGGCATCGTTTGTGGAGCGTTTGATGGCCCGAGGAGTGAGATTGGGTAACGGACTGACTGACTGACTGACTGACTGATATCTGATGGACATACAGACAGACACACATAACTACCGCAAATCTCGCTGCGCTTGCCCGCTGTATTCGCAGTAAACCCCAATAAAAAGTGTGTAACTAGGCTTTTGACCATGCTCAAATGACGTCAAAATCGCTTACATGATATACATCAACCAATGATTGATTGTAAGATATGAAGAGTTGCGTGAGGAAGAATTTTGCTTTACAAACATTGTGTGTGTGTCAAGAGGCTTCTGCTCGAACCATGGGTGGGTGTCACCAGCGAATTGATCAAACACCATAGTCAAAAGCTAGTAGGATTTAAACGATATAAGATCTTCAGATGATCTTAAATCAAGAGGTACGTAACTTGTTCTATTGTGAGCAGGTATTTTGCACAAATGAGAAAATGAGTTTGTAGGGGAGAAAGCTTGTTAATATAGACAGCTGTATGTTAACTGAAGAGAAGTGGCTCATTGTATACACACATTAGGGGGGGGGATCCATCAGGTCATTAACGAACTTATACATAATACAAATTGATGTCAACGCATAGCTAGCGAAGGAAGATTGCAGATAAACAACAGCAACTGTAATCTAGGTCCCATTGTTTCACACAGTCTTAGAGCAAATTTTTGAAGTTTCTCATTATCTTGAAGTCAAAAAAGACTCCAATCCTCGCATGCGTACTCCAGACATGGCCGAATAAGAGAGACATACAGCTGCAGATGATTTGTAGAAGATGTGTGAAGATAAAACGTTCAGTAGAGAGGACCAAGTATTTTCTTAGCTCTGGTATAATACATATGTAACTCTTGGATGTGCTTGCTCCAGGAGAGATCAGACATTAAAAGTAATACCAAGGTATGTGTAGTGAAAGACTAACAATAGCCAATAAATAGAGCAGGTGAATGTAAAATATTTCTTTTCCTCATCACAATCATAAATTTATCAGTGTTGGACGTTAGAGATCTGCGAACACTGTAACAAGGAGTTACATCTCGCAGTAGTGGCATAATGTCCTCAGCGTCATTTATTGGCTTGAAGTAGAATATCATCAGCATAGGGTGCAATTCTTACCCCAGGTGATAATACAACATCAGTAGCACCATTTACATAAATCAGGAAGAGTAGTGGCCCCAGGACTGAACCTTGGGGAAAGTAGAGGTTGCATGGATGTCAGATGAATTGATGTCAGACAACAATTCAATAGCTACATATCCATCTCAGTACTTGACGTACACCATTCGTCGTGGTAACACTATAGTTTGAACTCCACTTCCCTATCTCTCTTCTGTCTATCTTAAGCAAACTGCTGGAGAAGCATGTCCAATACCTATTGATGGTTCATATGAAAAACATAATTTTTGACAGCCGGATCTCCTGTACGCGCCGAGACGCGTGACGTTAACTGATTTGTAGTCCAACTAGCCAATCACAATGCTGAATTTCTGCTGCGTCATCCTGCACTAATGGACTGTTGTGTAAACTTTGGATGCCAGACAATTTGCACTACGCCTAGCGTTAGATGTTGTGATAAAGATTTCCTGTCCAATACTGATCCGGTGCAGCCCCCAGCCCACAGCTCAGAATGCAGCGTATATTCCTAGCACCGGGTTGTTTGAAGTTGGACTACAAGTGCATGTCAGGCTCTCCATGAGGCATTTGTGCTGGACCTCAAGTAGAATGCATTTCCTAGCCATCAATTAACAGTACTGCAAATGTGTACAGTTAGACTTTTCTAGGGCACTGAGGGTTTGCACTTTAGTGTTTTAGTTGCTTATTTTTCTATCCCTAGATGAAGATTTGGATTTCACTCATGAGGACTGGAATTGTGAAAATATAACGATCACTGTACATGATCCCCAAAATGCTGATTATGTGGCTCGAACTAATGATATCAGTGGTCAAGATATTGTACGCAGTGAGTTGAATGAACCTAAACCTAGCCACCCAGTCAGACATAGTCTCTATGTTGGCCGCACGTCACCATCAACTCTTGATCATTTGGAAAAAGTTATTTTTTCTACTACTGACAATGATGACCCATCAGGGGCTTGTCCGGATATGTGTGAAGGATATTCTCGAATGCAAACACCAACCACAAAGTACGCTTCAAGTTCAGAAACACCCGGAAAATTGTGCACTGAAGTTGGTGAAAAAATTTTTGCTGCGAAACATTCCTGTCTACCTCGCAAATCTACGCTTCTAGAAGCATGCAGGTGGTTACTTTGAAGGAGAGAATATGGCTGTTAGTGTCTGTGATTGTCTCTGTTACAGTAAGACTTAAACAGTATTACATCACACACTCTGACGTTAGTTCAGGTGATCTCTATGCACCTGACCCTGTGGAGCAACTGTTGGCACCTTCCACCAGTAGATACCAAAACCCATGCTTCGAAAATCGGCTTACACTTACACTCTGTAGTTCGTTAGCTACACCCCTGCACACTCTACCTCTTGCTCCTCATCTTTCTCTGTGAATGATAGTGAAAGTGTGCAGGACTTCGACCCTGTAGCCTTTTACACATCAACAGGATGTGTCTACACATCCCACTAGAGAGAGCCTGAGCTGCTATTTTGCGGCTATGTTTTGCATCCCATTGCTTGCACTGAGTACTCCAAAGAGCAGGTACACATTGCGGCTGTCTCAGGGTCCAGCTGTGGAGTGAGAGGTATAGACAGTCTGAACTCCCATTTTGGAGAGTCAGGCTTATGTTTCAGCAACCTGGCTAGCAGATCAGTAGCATTTCCGCAACCTGAGCCTTCAACAAAATTCCTCAAAGCATGGGAGAGCCTCAATGAAAAACACTTTACCATGCGCACTGCCCATGCGCGGAAGCGCTAATTGATAAACTGGTATGCATGCATTTACGTGTGCTCTCCGTGCAAGTTATATACTTGCGGAGAGTCTGGCTACACTAGCAGATAGCTTGTGGGAGTCGATACAAGCCCTTTGTTTGCCTTCTTGTGCCTCCAAGGTATACACTAAGTGAGCAGCTCAGGTCGAGGTAAGCCCAGTGCGATTGACTTTTTCGCTTGTTTTCACGGCATATCTTTCGAAACTCAGTTGTTATTGCCAGGCTCGCGTAGTTCTGAAGCCGTTGGAATCGCTCATTGGCTGCCTCATAGCCTGCAAGCTGCAGACAAACAAACAAAAAGATGGACACCCACACAGATCAAGTACTCTGCACATATGCGCCGAGGGGTAATCAAGAAGGTCTCTTGGTATATTGCTTTCTCAGTGATAAGCAGAGATTTCATTCCTCATTGTTCCTCTGGGTCAAGGAGAGGCTGGCTGCCAGGACTTTCAGGGTCTCCTCTACTGGGATCAGGTCAAACGTCATACTGCTCTGATGACACAGCTGGAAAATCACCATCAACTGATACTGAACCGAGATGTCTGTTGATGGTAGACCCTACTGTTGGAGGGTCACCTGATCCTGTACCTGTCATACCCCCAGTCAGAGTTCATCAGAACCAAAGGTTTCACTGAACACAACAACAGTAACCCCCAACCCAGACCAAATCAAATGGAGCATCTCCAAGACGAAAGTGATGTCCCACGCGACGTTGACCACCGGAAAGACTGTATAGCACATTTTTTCCGTTCAGACCAGCCCTACCCAGCCCATCCCAATTTTGCACATGCGACTGAATAATTGTGCGCTAACCAATGCGTTACTTGGGCCTTGGGTTTGCACTTTAAACTGTAGTAAAACTGTTTATGCTTTAGTTTTTCTACAGATCAAAGCTTCACAGTATTGCTTATGCACCACAGTTTTAAAAGTACTAGATGTGTGAAAGCCAGGAGATGAGCAATCCTGGCTCTTTGAAGCTAGCAGTGGGCCACGTCAGTAAGTGGCCTTCTTTCTACCCTGGGTGTTGCGAGGAATTGCAAGCACCCCAGGTTAACAGCAGCCTTCTTATCCTGGGGATTGTAGTCAGAGCAGCTCTGATTGGTAGACACCACAGCAGCCTCAGACAGTCTTAGTTCCATGTCGTTTCAACCACGGTTCAATAAAGCATAACAGGGATGTGCTGTACACTTGTATAAGTACGTACTCTACACAGGTGGCAAGCTTGGCTGCTCTGTAACTATATCAACAACACCGTCTCTTATGCATACAGCACTCCTTTCATTTTTTTTCTAATCCAAACGTACATGTTGAGGTTTCCTACTAGTACGGTGGTGGCAAAACAAGAGTTGCTTCTTTTACCAAAGTTCTTCCCTTTTTGACATTGACTTTATTTTCTTTTTCAGTTGCGATAACACTGAAGAACATGCACAGATAAGGTTCTGTGTAAACGGAAAGGCACAGGATACAAAACCATGTCCGCTTTGTAAAAAGGTAAACATTTATATTTGTAAGGAAGTACTTGCCACCTTTGTGATGAAAACCAACCAACACAAGAAGTCATGTAAGATGTGATAAGTTTCATGTCTCAACAACTTGGTAGAGAGGTAAAAAGGCAAGGCAAGGCAAACAAGTCAACTACACCCAGGACAGCTCGAAGAAGGATTCGAACCAACGACACTCTGCAGTCTAAGCAAGGGTTCTACCAACTGAGCTACAATGGCAACTCAGCTGGAAGGGGTTGGAATCTACTACACAAAGGCAAACGTCAAACCACTGTGCTCTATGGCATAGTATAGTCTCACTCACACTACCTGCTCAACTTTGACACCTTACTCTAAATATAATCACCTATCTCCTGTGGATCAACTAATTGCAGTCGCATTTAACAGCAAATTTGTATTCAATACCCTCATAACCTCGGAATTTATTGTCAAAAATGCCTATGTTTTATGCGAGAAGCATAATTGTGCAAATTTGCATGTTGATTTAATCTGTGTCTGGTTTCTTAACACATTACTAATTGAGCGATTTAACATGCGTAAATAAAAAATCGATCTTGTTCACCTACGTATGTTATAAACCAGAAAGTTTTTACATACTTCAGGTAGAGAAGTCAGTATCTGCCACATTCACAATGTTACTGCCTTGAGATCCATATGAAATTTTTCACTGTCTGTTGCAAAAAAAACAGAAAGTAATCAAGCACTGCTGTTAAAGATACTGTCAGCAAGAAGACAATTGTAAGCATGAACTTTTCATCATTCAGCATTGCACCCATCCGCATGCGCAGGTCTAAACCTCTAATTGATGGGCTGGGCTACTTCATCGTGGTTTTTCACCAGGGCAAGGTGAATCTTCATGTTGGTATACTATTGAATATAGTGTCTGGTTGGAGGTTGGGACACAGGCTGCTGCATTTAAGTCCATTATGGATGTGATATCTTCGGGTGTTCATTTAGGACAGGTAGAAAAAAGGAGTTAGGGGGATATGAGGCTGGATATGTTACAAGGGCATAGTGATATGAATTAGACGCTCTATATAGGGATGGCACGGGTCAAATCTCATGTGTTCCGCGTACAAAACGTATAAAAACTCAGTGGGAATGACTCCCTAGGCCATCAAGACACACTAGTAACAGTCTACTTGCTCATACCTAGCTATACATGTGCCCCAATACCTCATATGTATCTTCAGTCCTCCACGCGAGAATTCGCTCATGCATCTTTCACGAATTTCATGTCATCATCATAATGATAATGTTCTCTTCATCTTCTTCGTTAAACCCGCTATCTCCTTACCGGAACCAGTTGAAGCACTAATTTTTTCACAATAACTCCAGATTCACCAGAGGTGTGCACAGACATCAAGCGATCATTTCTTTTATGTCACACGTCACTACAGCAGATCGTGGAGCTCTTCCATACAGTGACACTGAACCGACGCCATTTGCTGCTAACTCAGCAGTGTCAAGTGTGTTTCCTTATGTGCGCGCACACACGTGGCCTCGATATCACACCTTCGTTCTTCCTGCAGTCTTGCGGAGTCGGCTCCTTTGTATGGGCTTGCTCCGTGAGACAACGTTGATTTGGGTAGGGAGAGACTTTGCAAGAGCCACATATGCATTGCTGTAGACACAGCTAGTAATGCTGCGTTTCCGAGGTCTAGACTACAGCCGCGTCCAGGAACGGTGCATGGCATGAATGAGCAAGACAGTCAGTTTTTGCTAGATGTAGTCTCGTGTAGCCAGCCCTTAGAGAGAGGGGCTGGCTAACCTCGAGACAAAGCTAGATGCACCCTGCATGTTTGTGGATACTCCTTGCTAGGCCCGTTGTGGCGTTGTCATGAGCAACTTTTTCAGGATGGTTACGGCAAGGTGCAAGTGTCTGGTGCTCGTACCCAGAGATCGTCACAGGCGTTCTGCCCTCCTCCCGGAGCTGCTTGGCTTGCGGTTCTACGTCATTAATATCATGAATAAGTGACCCTGGTAGCTCATTAACCCTCGGTGCGCATGCACAGCGAGGGTTATACTACTTAGTTTGTCATTCCATCCGCCCGTCCGCCTGTCTGTCTGTTACTACGTTTTCTCCCGCTACACGCAACAAGACGACCAAAAAGTGATACCAACTGGTTCAGTGCCACACTGGCTTTATTTTTAAAAATAGCGATTTTGGTAAAAGTGCTGCGTTCGAAAGTTATAACGTGAAACAAAGTGAAGGAGCTAATATGCAAATTAGTACTGGCTTACCTCGGCCAGCTCTACGTACCTTGGAGGCACCAGAAGTTGCAACGCAGGGCGAGTATCGACTCCCGCGTGCTATCTAGCCGTGTAGCAAGCCTGTGTCCGACTCTCAGTGAGTTGGTAACTGACCACGAGTCAGTAAAACTGTAAAATTGGACCAGCCCACCAATTAACAGTACCGCACATGCGTACGGTATAGCGTGTACGTCATCCGCATCTTCACCTTGCTGTGTATACAAATTAATCATGCCCACTGCGCCGAAGGTTAGCACTTCAGTGCCTTTCATTTTGTATAGCGCTTGCCTAGACTGCAGCGTGAATTCGAATCCCACCTACGGCAGCTTTTTTTCCTTTGAAATAAAGAGCTGTCCTGGGTGTAGTTGTTGTGCCTTTGCTTTCTACCTCGTAGTTCTCACATACATGCAGCTATATTGATGGGCTGGGCTATTAGTTACACGTAGTCTCCCGCTCATAGCTCACGGAGAGTCTGATACGGGACTGCTACACTAGTAGATATCATGCAGGATACATGCCCTTTGTTGTGATCTCTTATATCTCTGAGGTACACAGAGCAAGCAGACCAGGTCGAGGCAAGCCAGTGCTAATTTTCATGTTTGTCTGCTTACTTTCTTTTCGTGCTATAACTTTTGAACACACGAAAATCACTTTATATAATCAAACCAGTGTCACAATGAACTTGTTGGTATTGCTATGTTGTTGTCTCGTGGCGGGTGGTGGCAGAAAACGTAGTAGCAGGCAAACGGATGGAAGGACAGTCGGACTGACAAAGGTACAAACCAAGTACTGTAACCTTTGCTGCACATACACCTCGAGGGTTAACAATAAAAAGCTATGCATCGTAATCGGCACACATGTGTGTGTTTAACTCAACACCTTTGTGAAAGATATTAATCTCCGGCATTAGAGCAAACAAACTAAGCAGTACAGTAGTACAAAAACCTGAATAACAATACATGGATCGTATAAAAAGAGAGACAAGATAGGGATAGGGTACATAAAGGAACATCTGTGAGCATTCTGAAACCCCACCCCATGTTGTTTCCTGGTGTGTCATGTTTGGACCCTATAACGGTGGTGGTTACTCAGTTGAATGACACTATTCACATTGTTGTGACCTGTATTTTCAAGCTTTATGTCCTGCTGAAACACATACAGTCCACACGAAGAGACGAGAATTGTCAGTTTTTTGATACTTTGGGAATTTTCTGAGACATGCAGAAAGCTATGCAGACATATATCAACATGATCCTCAATCTTTGCTCGTTAACCTCATCACAATCACCTGATATCACGTGACACCCACGTGGAATAATTTGCAGAACTATAAACATGGTCCTCTTTATACAATACTAAGAGTTAGGCTCCGAAACTTCAATGACAGGCACACAACCTAAAGTAGCATCTTTGGGTCCAATAAAATTTTACCACGTCTCAGCCCTTTGTGCAAGACGCTGCAAAATGGTGATTCCGGAGCTTTAGCACGGCATGTGGCAAAACGTGCGAGTTAAGCTCGCAGACTTCATGGCTGGTATCTCAATACAATGGCTGTATATACCTTCAGCTGTTCAAGCACAACAAGTATCTGAGAGAAATGGGCATGCCTTCCCAGAAGAAGCGCTTCCCGCTACATTACATTCAGCCGTGACGCAATAGATTTTCTGGTATGTCACAGACTCCCTCCACGTGGTCCACGCTTGCACGAAAAACTTCGTAGTTTGAATCGAGCAGTGGAAAGCGGATACGTGAGTACTAGTGCGAGTTTGCCGGAAAGAAAGGTAGAAAATCGATACTAAAAACGTTTTTATGCAACTTAATCCTCGTGGGTGTTACGTGATGTCGTGTGACTGTGATGAAGTTAACGAGCAAAGATTGAGGATCATGATACATTTTGTGTCTCCATAGCTTTCTGCATGTCTGAGAAAATGCCCGAAGTATCAAAAACTGACAGCTCCTGTCTCCTCTGTGGAGCATTGATGTTTAATACTTCACCTAGGGAACCATGTAGGGATTGTGTGTTGGGTCAGGCAGGGGTGTCAGCGTACTCACATCTGTAAATTTGCATGAATTGATTCTGGGCAGTTGTCGAGCTAGATTTTCATTAATATTTAATTCTGTGGTGCTTCCTTCCTGCAGTCGTATTCTGGAATTGTTGATCATGCAATGGAACATAGGTGTTGGCATAAGGCTCAAGATACTGATCCAAAACTGTGGAACATAAGTTTTCCTAACACTGACGAATGTGATAACCTACTTAGGGATTAGTACAAATGCTGTTTTATTTACACTGAATATGTTAAAATAAACCTTCCAGTGTTGACTAGGCGGAATTTGATTTTAACAAGGATGTTCAGCGCACGCATCCAATAGTCGGGGGTTGGGCCGCCCCAAGACGAGGCACGTCCTTCTCTGCAGGGCGCGCTTGCACGATATCAACCGGTGCAGGGGGCCAGCCGCACAGGTGCAGCGGTTGCTAGAGGCGGCGCCGCCTAGAGGCCCGCGCCATGGCAGCCATAAAAAGCGCCCGAAGTTCGAATGTAGTCAGCAAGTGCAGCAATTGCATCGCCTGGTCGCAGTTCTATGCAGCAGCAGTTGGACAAGAGTATCCTCCCTTACCGTCCGTTGTGCTCTCTCCTGCCGGGATTGCCCTGGTGTGATATGTCGGGAGTAGTTAGAGCATTTATGGCAAAGACCACAAATTTATGGACCTCCAAGCACAATAGGGTACAAATAACAGTCAGCAGCCTAGTCATGGGGCGTGGCCTATGACGCGACAAGGAGGCCTGGCACCTTTTGTAGGCGCGCATGCGCATAAAAAGATGTACTTGCATGGGCACGTACTCCAGACTATCTCATTGTGAGGTGCCAGTGTGCCTGGCAAAGCTTTGTGTGAGACTCCTCGTGTTCAACATGTATGTGTAAACATAGAAGTGTATATGAGCTGGATAAACGTAGAACGGTTAATAATTGAGTGGAAAAGCGAATAAAAAATATATTATGACAAATACATGCAATAGCAAAATAACAGTGCCAATGTATTGTGTGTAATTGGGGCCTATCCCAATTTACAATTAACGCCCACCCACAATTGCAATTGGTTCCCACGTAATAAACACAGAAGAACATGTCAATTTGGAATATGAACCTAGAAGCTGTGTAAATT